CTCGCCATCTTCCTGAGTACAGGCATCGAACCTTCTTGCCTGACGACCGACCGACGGACAGAGGAATAGGAGGAGGAGCAGGAGGGAGGAGGGATGAGAAGGAGGAGGAAGGAAAGGAGGCGGATGAGAAGGAGGAAGGGAAGGGAGGGTAGGGAAGGAAGGAGGAGGAAGGGAAGGAGGGATGAGGAGGGATGAGAAGGAGCAGGAGGGGAGAGGGCGGAGGCGGAGGCCCAGGAGCAGGCGATGCCCCTGGGGCACGACGACGACCGCCGCCGACCGGCACGAGGCGGGCGGGCCCGGAGGGAGGCGGGCAGTTCTCCTCCTCCTCCACCTCCTCCTCCACCTCCTCCTCCTCCTCCTCCTCCTCCGATCCTCCTCCTCCTCCACCTCCACCTCCTCCTCCTCCTCCTCCTCCTCCTCCTCCTCCTCCTCCTCCTCCTCCTCCTCCTCCTCCTCCTCCTCGGGGGGCTGCCCCCCTTGGTGGCTGGGGGCTGTGCGCCCCGGACCGCTCTCGGGCAGCCGCGGGGCCCGCGGAGGGCTCCGGGGCCCACCTCCGTGGCAGGAGGGCCTCCGCGGGGCCCTCGGGGCGGCCGTCCCCCGCCCTCGGGGCCGGCACGGCGGCACCGGCCCCGACGACGAGGGCAGGGCCCCATGGAGGCGCGCACGGGAACGTCGCTGGCAAGACTCGACAGGGGGATCGACTGCAGCATTGATTTACCCCAGAATTGATTTCCGCATCGACTCTTCAACCAGAATGCGTCAACCATTCGCAGATCTGCAGAAATTCTACGAATTTCCCGTGGATTCGACAAGAAAAATCAGTTCCGGGGCAAATCAAGGCTGTAGTTGATCCCCTACTCGAAAAACACGTCCCAGAGCGGAGCAGAGCGGAGCACGAGCCTGCCAAGGCTCTCCTTCTTCACCTCCCGAATGTTGCTTTTCCCCCGAACATCAGCGAAGCTCGGAAGGAGGACGACATCACTCCACAGGGGTTGGGGAGAGACCCGTCGAACGCGTTCCACAAGCATGCAGCTGCAATTAGGACTGCAGACTGTACAGCGCAATTTCAACGCCGAGGAGGCGGAGGAAGAGGACGAGGAGGGGACTCCTCCCCCCAATCGTGCACGATTGCCCATCCTGCGGAAGAAGTGGACGGAGATAGGAAGCAGGAGGGCGCCGAAGGAGGAAAAACCGCTCAGCTCCTGCAACTGGAAGGCGTTTACAACAAAAAGACTGGAGTCCAAGACGCCCCCAAACACCCACTTTCAACGAGCGACGGGGACCCGCCCTCGAAGTTGACTGCCCATCGCTGTCGTCCTTCTCTTTCACGTCGCCGTCGAGACGGAGAGAGAGAGAGCTAGCAGGGAGGAGGCAGAGTGATGAAGTATGGCAATACCCTTCCACATGCGCTGGCATGAAGTTGCCGTGTAGTCACACTACGGTCGGCCCTAGGACAGAAGAGCATCCTCAAAGAACGCGAGGCCCTCCGCCGAACAAACCGAAGAAAACTCGGAGGTATACCCTCCCTCGGGATGCACAAGAACAGCCACACGCAGAACACTCTGGCACCCTCCCCGAACCGACCTCGATCTTATACCTCGGTCCGGCCGCATTCGGGCTCGTGTGTCCAAGTCGCCGTCGTCAGCCTCGCCCTTGTCACATCAAAACATTCAAGAGCACACAGCGAGCTGAATCCCCGCCCGCCCTCTCGCCGGCCCATTCCCTCGCGATTCTTTCTGCCCGTTAACAGTCGGCATCATCGAGCCTCGCAATCTCGCTGCAGGAGTTAACTTACAGACATCGTCCTGCCATGAAGCACGCCACACGAGGCACGGAGGGGCTTTTCCTGGCCACGGCGAGCCTCGGTAACGAACAGGCTCCCCCGGCACAGCCCCAGGGAGCGGCACCCAGAGCCCTTCCTGAGCCCAGGCCAGATCAGCGTCTTGACTGCATCCTACTGTGGAAGGTCGGCGACTCCGGTGGGTGCAGTTTGCACAGGGTCGGATGGCAACCCTCACCGTGGGGGGCGGGCGAGGACCTGGACGACATTCTCCGCCGCGCCCCGAGGAGGCCCGACGAGGGCAACGAGGTGCCCCCGAGTCCCAAGGATGCAGACCGCAAACCACACTCCAGCGCAACCACACCCTCTGTCGTCGCCGAACGGAGAAGCCGAGCGATCGGCGTCAAGACAGCAGGTCAACGCCGCGCCGCTGGACAGGGTCCAGAAAGGCTGGACAGGCATCGAGTTGACGATCTCCTCGAACTCGACCGCCTCGCCCCTCCGTGCTGGCAGATAATGATGAAGGGGAACTGGAACACGCAAATGAATAGACACAAATAACCAGATTCCCCATATTTTCCCATATTTTCTGGGTTTCTGTCTTCCCCCCCACTGCCCATATGTTCCCATATTTTCTGGGGAGTCGACGATTGATTGTGCCTGTGTGTGTTTTTCCCTCCTGAGAGGAGGCGGGGCAGGAAGCAAACGCGAAGCGAGCGCCCAGCGTCGTGCGCGCTGCCCTCGTGGGAGCCCGCCCGTGCTGGTGCTCTCATCCCTAAGGCATGGCGCGGAGGCGGGGGGGCTCAAAACGGTGAGATGCGGGCGGGATCGCGTCGTGGCCACCGTCAAAGTGCTCCCAGCGCCTGGTGTCCAGCAGCAAGGCAGGGATCGGGGGGCGCGCAGGCATGGATTGGCGATCCGTGGATGTGGCGCGCGGTCGCCAAGACCATGGATCGGGGGAGAGGCCCTCCCAAAGATTTGCGGCCGGTGCCGCCTCGTTCATGGAGACGGGACCCGTCGCTGGTCCACGCCCCCTCGATCCATCTTTGCGATCGCCCGAAAGGAAGAGAGGCTGGAGGAGGGCAGGCGCGGGGAGGGCGGGACGGGCTCCCCCAGTCTGGCGCTCTCGGAAGCGAGGGCCGCCCGCCGCGGCGTGTGCAGAGGCCACCGTCGCCACCAGCGAGGCGTGCACCCCCGAAGCGATCGCAGGTGGCGCAGGCACGGGACCGCAGACCAGCTTGAAGGGGCCCAAGGACACACAAATGAGTACACACAGATAACAGGACCCCCCATATTTTCAATATGTTCTGGGTTTTCGTCTTCCCCCCCACTTCCAATATTTCCCCATATGGGGAATCAACGATGAATTGTGTCTGTGTTTTTCTTTCCCTCCTGACGACTTGCAACCCAACCACGAACGAGCGACGAAAAGAAATGGGCCTTACGCAAGATGGCGCAGCGACCTTACGCCGCCGCGGACCGCCACCGTGGCACACCGCGTTGGGAGAAGGGCGCTTGCACGCGGCCTTGCACGACCAACTGACGCGCGATTGTCTCCGCAATCCAATCCGTTCTCTGCTTCGCCCTAGTGGTTCTTCCCCCAGGGTGCTGAGACAGCTGTTCCGGAGGTAGCCAGGTCGCGGACTTTTCGCTTCGGGGCAAACACGCTCAGGCCATTCAGTGAGCACGGCCCCGATGCACTGCAAATCGAGGGGCCCGTCACCAGCTGCTTCCTCGCGAAAGCCAAAAACGTCGTTCAAGATATCTGCCCCTGCCTGGCATTCGGTTCCCGTGTCCTCGTGCTGGCCCTTGACAGCCACCAAAAGATTGCGTCAGCGACATCGTGTGAGCAGGTACCTACCGACCGTCCTCGCTTCATATAGGCGGACCGCCCGTAGCTGTTGTAACAAAATAATGTTCTGATACTGAAACAGATGTCCCTGAAAAAAAACCGATGGATCACAAGACGACTGTCTCAGCCAGAAATGCTTTGATAGCATGTCGTGCAAACCACGACAGGTTTTCAGAACACTCTTTGGTGGACCTAGAGGCAGGTCAGGACGCTGCACCCATGCTTGATTGATACTCCTGTCAGACATGTGCTCAAAGGCATTGCGCTGCAAACGACCGCCAAATGTCGAAGCCTTGCGATGGTCTGCATCAGACCGGCACTGCCGCCTACGGAAACGGTGCCGCAATGCGAAACACGCGCTTCTTCTCCCCTGCGCGTTTGGTATCAAGCCTTGTTTCGCAACTGACTGGCGAACACAGATCGCGCGGAACGTGCAACTTTCAGACGTGCGGGGCCAAGTCGTCCGAGACTCTTGGATTCATCTCGGCATACCCGTGCCATCTGGAAACTTGACTCCTGACTCTTCGATTCTTCCTCAAACCTTCTGTCTTACTGCTCTCTGTTCCCCCCCGCTGCGTCCCTCACTCCTCCAACCTCCACTTCGAGCTTCCAGAACGGTGGCGTGGGCTTTTGTGGTTGAGCCAGAGGCCAGAGTGTCAAAGCAATTTGAAGCATCAGAATGTGAACGTGGAATTCTTAACCTTAACCACCATGTCGTAATCCCAAACGGTGGTTAGCCGGACACGGGTCCTGCGGGCCATCTGCAGAGAAGGCCGACCACCAGGGTGATTACGAGACGGTGGTCAGGCCTGTTCAGGCAGAATGTAGCTGCGCAGGCAGATAGCAATATACACCATCGCTTTCAACCACTAAGCCGTTCATTCCACCACACGATTCTTCCCCCTCTGCTCCTCCCCTCCCTTGCTCGCGCCAAAGCCGCCTCAGGTTCCGCCTTCTGGGGGGGCGGCGCAGCCGCGGCCGCAGCACGCTCTTTGGCGACAACTTCAGGCACAGGTGGCAGCGGCCGCTGCGGGGGAGGGGGGATCTCTACGGGTATGAGTCTGCGAGAGAGAGAGAGAGAGACACAGACAGACAGACAGACAGACAGACAGACAGACAGACAGATAGACAGACAGACAGACAGAGAAACAGATCCACATACATACATGCGTACGTACGTGCATACAGACAGACAGGCATAAAGACAGACAGACAGACATCTATGCACACGTGCACACACATATACATACTTGCACATACAGATCTATATATATATATACATGCAAGTGTAGCATTATACATACATGTACATATACAGATCTGAGAGAGCGCGCCCGTGGTGCACTCCCAAAAGGGAGGGTTCCTCCCTTAGCCCCACCCCCCTTGGAACTCCCCTGCTGGACCCCGCCTCCTCCTTCCTGTCTGCCCCTCGAAAGCTCCCCCCCCCTCTCGCGCTCCGGAGGCTGCCCCCCCCTCCCCCCTTTGCAAAGGGGGAGGGAGGGGCTCAGCTACCCCCCTCCCCAAACCTACCCCCCTCCCTTTCCAAAGGGGGGGGGGCTTAGCTCCCCCCCATCCCCCAATGGACCTCCCCTGCCGGGGCACCCGAGTGCAAGATGAGAATTAGAGAGAGAGAGAGGGAAAGAGAGGACTCCTGCTCCCCCTCCTCCTCCTCCTCCTCCTCCTCCTCCTCCTCCTCCTCTGACGACCATGTGTTCGTGAACAACAAAAACAAGTGGAGCTCTCCTCGCGCCTCAAGCACATGTTCAACCACGTCACCAGACCATACACGAAGTTGGCAAATCCAGCAGCACGGCGTACTCTTCAACCAAAGGGTGGACAGCCATACCGGGGGCAATAATTGCTCGAACAAGCGTGCTGATCATCTAGCTGAATGTGCTGCCACTGGGATCGTGGTAATCATCGCCGGGCGGGCATTACTGGCTAAGCCATCCGTTCACGCACTGGACTCATCAAGCTATCAATTGCAATCAATCAACCATAACTCATGTGAGAAATGTGCTGGCTCAACCAGCACGACGCCGTATGTTAGGACAGCCGAGGCTGTAGACACGGCCCAGAGATCCCACTACTCTGAAAAACCTGAGGGCCCTCTGGAAAGAAATCCAACTTTACAAAACCAAATCAACATAAATAATAATCCATGGGAAGTGAGGGGAGGAGGGAGGATACTAGTGCTTCGAGCGTGGACTAGATTACGGGGATAATGTCGCGGCTCCCAGCGGTGCTCCCGACCAGGGGGAGTAAACGCCTCCGAGATCCCCGAGGCCTCCAAGAACCCAGGGCCCCCAAGAACCCAGGGAGGGGTTGTCTCAGAGTACTGGCATCCCCTCTGGCTCCCTCCACCCTCGCCCCACCTTCCTCCTGCTCCTTCCCGTCTCCCTCCCTCCCTTCCTCCCTCCCGTGCCCTGAACCCTTCTTCCTCCCTCCTCACAGCTCGCCATCCGCATTCCCCCCTCGCTCCTCCCGCCTCTATCCTTACGTCGGGCGTGTCCCCCAACAGGTGGATTTGTGGCGAAGAGTTGAAAATACTCAAAACATACCCCCCACATGGGCAAAATAGTCAAAGAATCGTCCCAAGACTGGTTTTGACTATCTTCGAGAGTTCCTCCTGTAGAGGGACAGCCCCGACTCATATAACTCTATCCTACCTCGCCCCCTCCCCCCACCCCTGCCCGTTGTCGGCCCGCCCCCGCCCGCGGCATGGGGACACAGGGGCCGAAACAGTCTGGGCGCCTCTGGTGGGAGGAGGAGGAGGAGGAGGAGGAGGAGGAGGAGGAGGAGGAGGAGGAGGAGGAGGAGGAGGAGGGGGCAGTGCCCCCTCCCGCAGGGCGCACCCCCGGGGCCCCTGCCGAACCCTCGCCCTGACCCGCCCCATGCGGGAAAGGCCGGCCGGAGAGACGACGGCGGCCCCCCCTGGCGCTTTGTATACTTGTGTTGTACTCCTCCTCTGGGCAGCTCGGAGGCCCCTCGTCGCCACGCCTGGCTCCGCCTCGAAGACTCTGACAGGACTGGCGGGCCTGTTTGCCACCACCACCACCAGGAGTTGTGGGGGGGAGGGAGAGGGAGGAGGAGGGAGGAGGAGGAGGGCCCCCTCGCCCTCCAACTCATGGTGGTGGTGGTGGAAGACAGGCCCATCAAGGATGGACCGCGGGAAGGGCTAGGGGACTGATTCTGAGCGGATTTGAGCCGAGCGGGAGTCGCCGGGCGGGAGAACCGCCGGCCGGGAGAGTCCCCGTGGCCCCAACCCTAGACATCACCCGACGATGTGATTTCAATGCGCGGCCCCAGAACTTCGGACCCCTTCCTTGGAGCCAAGCTTTCGCCCCGGATTCGCTCTTGATAGCCCTGAGGCCTCGCAGCGGGCCCGCCCGCGAGGCCCCAATCGAGGAAGAACGCCTGGACCATAAAAAACACGTCGTCGGAAATCTGGAATTGTCTCGACTTGCCCTCTTCCGATTCCCACAAGGTCACCAGATCATGGACCCTGCCGTTCCCCCCCCCCCCCACTGCCCTCTCCCGAAGAGCAAAGCGCAGCGCGGCGGGAGCGGCACCGGCGACGCGGGTGCGCGCTGAGCTGCAGAGCCTCCCATCCTCCGCTCCTCTTCTTCTCCCGTGTACCCCCTCGGCTCCTTCCCGCCCCAACTCCCCAGATCTCTGGCGGCATGATTGCTTCAACCTGGGAGTTCTCCTCGAGTTCAGCCTCCAGACATCAACTTTTCCTTGGCTTCCTGTCGCGCTGGGAAAAAATCGAGTTCAGTCTCCAGGTCCGCTATTGGGCCCCAGGGCCACAAACAGGTCCGCCTGCTTCCCGCTCCCATTCCACCTCCTCCTCCGGTCGCTGCCCTTCTTGCTGGGAGGGGAAGAGGGGAAGAGCAAGGCGGGAAAACATGGCTTGCCCCTGCCCCGTCCTCCTACAACAGACAAGGGCGAATCTGCGGCTGCCATGGCTGCGCACATTGCGCAACCACGTTGCGACGACCCGGTGACATGTCCGACCGCCAGGGAACCGTCACACGCGACACGCCCTGTCAGGCGGCAACGAATGACAGTCAAGCTAATACCATGAGGAACGAAACTAAGCATCGAAGCCTTTTTTAGGGCCGAGTCGAGTAACTCATGGGGTATGAAGAGAGCTAACCTCAAGAAGGCATTCAGACCCCCCCCTTTCCGGTGGATTATAACGCCCTCGCACCCTGGAGCGTTTTGGCCGCACCGGAGGACCTGGCTGCGGGGACTCGGGGCCTTAGCCAAGGCTTAGCAGGCTCAGACTGCTCAGACTCACTCACACTCAGAATCCTTGCGTGCCCGCCTCTCGGGCTCTCTCGTATTTCTGGGTCCGCGGGTGCTAAGATAACTCGGGGGTGCGGGGCGGGGGGGTACCCTAGGGTGGGCCCCCCCCCTTGGAAGGCCGACGAAAGTTTATTTCTTTAAGGGGGATGTAAAAGGAATCGCATGGCCTGCCTAGCAGGGCTTGGCAGGGCTTAGCAAGGCTTAGCAGGCCTTAGCAGACCTTAGCAGGGCCTAGCAAGTCTTGGCAGAGCTTATCTTGGCTTAGCATGGCTTACCAGAGCCTAGCAGGGCCTAGCAGGGCTGCGCAGGGCTTAGCAAGGCTTAGCCTCGGACCGCGCTCGGACCAGGGCTTAGCAGGGCTTAGCAGGACTTCGAAGGGCTTTGCCTCGGACCAAGCTCGGACCACGCCTAGCAGGCCATAGCAGGGCGTAGCAGCGATGAGCAGTGCTGAGCAGGGCTTGCCTAGCAGGGCTTAACTAGCAGGGCTTAGCAAGGCCCTGCACAGGGCGTAGCAGGGCTTAGCGGGGGTTGGCAGGGCTTCGCAAGGCCTAGCAGGGCTTCGCAGGGCTTAGCAAGGCCCCTCGGCCTGCAGGGCTTAGCAGGACCTACCAGGGATAGAGGTCCACAGAGATCTGGGCTAGATCCTTGACATTCGTTGCGGCACCCTCTCTTGGCCTTATTGGGGCGGCCATCGATGGATTTTGTTTTCTGTTTGCGGCGGGTGCGAAGTTTATCGTTCTGCGGAACCTGCCCGCCTGGAATATTGAAAAAACCGGGTGCTAAGAATTCGCCGGCCCAACGGGCCAGAGGCGTGCTAAGATCTCCGGTAACTGGTTAACAATGCTCTAGTACGCGCGCGCGCGGGGCGGCCCCTGGGGGTCCCCGGACGAAAAGTACCCCAGGCGGGTCCCGGCTGATCCCCGGGCGACTCCACCAGAGCGCTCCACGAGCGCACCAACAGGGCTCCGAGACGTCCCCGAGAGCCCCAAGAAAGGCCAAGAGGCCCCCAAGAGGCCCCCCCAAGATGGTACACGAGGGGTCCGACATGCCACAAGATCGCTCCAAGACGCCCAAGATAGCCCCCAGACACCCCAAGAGGCCTCCAAGAGCACTCCCAAGAGGGCCCCAGGAGGCAAAATTCATCTCTTTTCCTTCGGCTTTTGAGAGATTTTGGAGTTTCCACCTTTTCGGCTTCCCGACGCCCCAAGACGGCCCAAGAGGCCCCCAAGATCGCCCCAAGAGGACCCAAGAGGCCCCCAAGAGGGCCCCAAGATGGCCCAAGAGGGCTCGAAGACGGCCCAAGAAGCCTCCAAGACGGCCCAAGAGGGCCCCAAGAACGCCCCCAAAGGGGCCCCAGAGAGGGAACACGAAACAACATTTCGAGCCCTCGGCCTTAAGAAGCCCCCACGAGGCCCCCAAGAGTCCCCCAAGCGGCCCCATGAGGCCCCCCAAATGCCCCCCCGAGCACGCAAGCAAGCGCAAGCGATGCTACAATATGCTCTCCTTTCGGTAGACTCCCAACGGGGCCCCTACATACTTGCGACAAGCGTCAAGAACCTGCCCAAAAAACACTGTCCAAAAAACACTGTCCAGGAGCGTTCACAAGTGCCGCGAAGAAGTCCTCCTTACGCCGGAAAGCCCAGAAAGCCGGGTGGGGTGAGCTGTTCTTTTCACCACCGCGCCCTCTCACACAATGGCTTCCGCACGCCGCCCAGAGCGCGATGCCTCCCATCACACCCCCGACGACGACGACGACGACGACGACGACGACGACAGAAACAAGACAAACAAGATGCGGCACGCTGCGGTTCTGCTAATGACGGCGGCGCTCATAACGACAATGACATTCTGTGATGACGATGGACGTGCTCCCGCGACGTGCAAGCCAGCGCCAGATGTGGTACGCAATGGGTGCCATGGTACTCACGGCAGTGCCGACCTTCACTGTTGATGAGGTCACAAGACTCCTACCAGGTCTACAACGATTCCTCTTCTAACTCCCTTCTGCCCCTTCGGGGAGGGGTTCACCCCTCCCTCTCCCCCCCCCCCCCCCTGCACTTGGAGGGGTGGGGCCGCGAGCGAGTACAGCGTCCATGATGGCCCCAGATGAATCCAACAAAACCTCAGAGAGCGCAACATGGCCTCCACATTGGCTCCAGATGGCCACACCTGGCTGAAGATGGCACCCATCATGTTTGAAGAGGCCACACGACTGATTCCAGACGCGGCGACGACACCTCGGAGACTCCCAAACAGGCCCCCCAAGAAACCCAAATCCGTCATAACCTACCGAATTCCCATGTTGCTTTCATCATCGCCCGCTCGCTCTCGATATCCTTCCGATGCCTGAAAATGGCTCCTAGATGGCCGACGAGAGACCCAAGGGAGGCCCGCAGCGCCCCAAAACGGCCCCACGAGCGCACACGAGCGCGTCAAGAACACTCCACGAGGGCCGAGGTTTCTGGCTCTTCTGATGCCCCTTCCCCACCTTCTTCTCATATTTCTCCTCTTCTCTTCCTCCTCGTCCCCCTCCTCATCCGCCCATTCCTCCTCCTCCTTCCTCCCTCCTCCCCGTCCGCCCCTTCCTCCCCGCCTCCTTCGACGATAACGGCGGTCCCCCTCTTGACTGCTACACTTCCCTGATCACCTCAACTCACGTGGGCGTCGATTCTGGATGTGCCGGTGAGGACCGCGTTGGGGCCGCCGCCCGAAGCAAGTGCAGCCGCGGCGACGACCTTCTCTCAGGGCGTCTCCGTCCTCGACACACCTCATCTCCGAATCCTAACGACACGCCAAGAGACGCAAAGTCGGACGAAAACATTGCCGATAGTCGAACGGCATCGCCAGGCATCACAGGCGACACGTCGCTACGCGACGTTGAGAAGAGGAACGTATGTGGACAAGCAAGACAAAGCACCGCCGCAGCATCCGCGACACCCTTTTCCTCCTCTCCTCCTTGCTCAGGCTCCGTCAAGTCACGCCCCTCCACTTCTTCTCACCTTCCCCTCAATGGCTCCACGCTCCGCCGACCCAGCCTCGCAACCTAAATCTCCAGGCAGTCACTGCGTCAGTGTTAAGTTGCTTTCACCCTCTTCCGCGCAGCGGGCCCCGTGGAACTATTGCATGCCCGGCACGCATCGCTCCGGCCATGTCTCCGCGCATACCGAAGCGCATCCGCGTCGAACTCCGTCGCGCTCTTCGTCGCCCCACACGACGGGCAAGTCACCCGCGCGCCGCACTGTCTGCACGCTTTCTCGGCCTTCGAAAAGCACCGTCTGTCCAGGACTTCTTGGCTACGGGGGCACTTGTGACACTCGAAGCACCGCCTCGCATGCCGCTCGGCTCCACGCTGCCGCTGTCGCCCGCCATCAGGGAAACAGTTGTTCGCCAGCGCCCTCTCGCATGCCTCGCAGTTCACGCGCGCGGCACAAGCCCTGCATGATTTCTCGGCCTGCGTGAAGCACTTCGCGTCTAAGACCTGCTTGCATCCCAGGCAATTGTGGCACTCCGCGCACCGCCTCACAAGTCGCTCCGACCCCTGCTGCCGCGCCCTCCCGTCATTCGGAAAAAAAGGTCTTCGCCAGAGCCCTCTCGCATACCTCGCACTTCACAAGCGCGGCGCAAGCCCTGCATGATTTGTCGGCCATCCTGAAGCACTGCCTGTCTAAGAGCTCCTTGCATTCGGGGCACGTGTGGCACTCCAGGCACCTCCTCACAAGTCGCTCCGCGCCCTTCTGTCGGAACCGCCCGCCATCCGGAAAACGCCCCATCGCCAGCGTCCCCTCGCACACCTCGCACTTCACTGGCGCGAACGTCGCGCACACCCGTCCATTGCATACAAATATCATGTAATCCCCCACTCTCTCCTTGTAGACGACGCACACTTCGCAGTCCGCGCGCCGACGGATGGCCTGCCTGCGAACTTGGCGCGGCTGCCCTCGGAAGCTGATCACTGGCTTCTCCGTGCCGCGCACTGTGCATTCGAAGACGCGCTGGTCTCTGCCGCATGTCGAACAACAGTGCGAAACTGCTGCCCCTGGCATCCTGAACGCGTGCACGCCCGACACGTACTCCCCGCGCTTGGCGCAGACGTGCACCTCGTAGCTGCCAGCGAGCACGCACGCGTTGCACTCGTCACTCCCATCATCAAACAGCGCCGTAATCTGTTGGTGCTTACACGGGATGCACTGTTCCTGCAGGAAGCTCGCCGCCGAATCCTTCGCCCGCTCGCTACACAGAGCGTCCGCGCACGCCTTGCACTCGCGCCAATGCCCCGGGCCCAGACACTTCTCC